TACATGTATGTAACTAGAGAATATACTCTTAAGCGAAATAAATCAGACCCCCCAAGTGTAAACATCTTATTGTCTCCTTAGTGTGAGAACTTGAAAGAGAAAAATGGAATCTGAAGGGTGCAATAGATACCGGAAGAAGGGAATGAACTTGTTCAGAAGGCAAGAGTTAGCGAGTTGAGAAGAGAAAAAGGGAGTAGGGGAAAGAGATTTATCTACGTAAGGAAGCAGAATGGTTTGGACAACTGCACTGTACATTTCTGCTGATCTATGGAAAGGAGAAGATAATAATTTGTCTCCTTTTTTCAATTGTATATTTTCTCTTCTTAATTTCTTATATATTTCTTTCCTTTTTTTTCAAATTTTACATGCATATATCTGGTAATATGAATTACTGGTTAGAACACAACACTACGTATTACAACAAATACTGTGAAATTCAAATTGCTTTGTTAAGTGAAGTTCTGTATCACTTTGTAATGTTTCTATTCTAATTTATACTCTTTTAAAAAGAAAAAAGGAGGACTTTAAGCCATGTTTTGTATTAAGTGGAAGATCAACACTGTCTTTCAGCATGATAAATAATTTTTGGCTTTTTGATAAAAAAAAGAATCTATTTTGATGAAATAACTGAACTTAAATATACTAAGTATATTCTAAATTTTATATAAGCTAAGGATTATGTCTATAAATAAAGTGTTCTTATTTGAACTGTTATCATCTTCATTTCACAACAGTGTTAGAAATCCTTAGCTTGCCAGTGAAGTGCATTTGAATTTTCATCATCCATTCATCTTCTTCAGAGTAGTTAGTAGCTGCTCAGTGTACTTTGAAGTACCATGGATGTATTAAACAGCAAAGTTTCTTCCATTAAGCCCACACATTTACTAAGTCAGTGCTTCTCCTTGGTTCTCCTTTCTCATTGTTTCTTTTCTATTGCTTCTTTTTCTCAAAGACAGCATCTAGGAGGGCTCGTATATAACATCATGACATTTGCATGCCACTGGTCCTAGTGGGGTAATTGTTACCAGATGGCTTCTGTGTGTGACATCGGCCCTCCTCCCAGGAATGACTGCCTTGTAGCATGGCTTCTGTGGTCACTGTGTCATGGAGGTGTGTCCTCCTCCCCTCCTCATTAACCATCAGATGTGCTAGCTACTGAGTAATATGACTCCTCTCTAGGCCCCCTTGTTTTGAATCAGATTCTTTCTAGCTAGCTCATCTAGCTCTCTCTGTATTTATCTTTCATACTAAGAACTGAATTCCAGGTGCTTTTTCCTATCTTTACTGAAGCATGAGATACTTGTGAGTTTCTTAGCTATAACCCTTATTATAACCACTCTTTTATCATGCTGAGTCAGGTGATACATCTTTATCTTGTTTAAAAGTCAGGGATTTTGAACTAAGCCTGAAAAGTAGGGTCAAAACTCTAACTCATCTCTCTTTCTCTTCCCCAAACCCTTATGTAAGTCTTCAGAGTGTTCCTCCTTCTTCTATGGTCTAATAAAAGTTTTAAGAAAAACAATCTTTATTCTGAATTAATATGGGTTTTACAAATAAAAATTCTTGATGTTTTTGTCCAGTATCTTTTTTGGATTAATATGATAACTTTTTTCTTGAAAATATGTCCCTGTTCCTTGATGTGTATAGAATGGAGAAAGTTAAGAGGAAAAGGACCTGTCATTCTGGGAAAGTATATGTCAAATATAAGGCACCTCACTATACGTGGATCATTTTGGGGTAAAAGAAAAGTTGTGATTACTTTTCCCCATGCATCCTTTCCTATTATTTTCAGAGTTTTATTTCTATTTCCCTTTGTTTTAAATGATTCAGTATATTAAAATTTGCCTTTTCTCAAACATTTATATCCTTAAAAACCTTTCTTATTTTACCTTTCATATCAGAAAAGCAAATTCAAACAGCTGTTTGCTTCATACTTTGTAACCAAAAGACTAGAATTGCAGTCTGTGAACAATTACCTAGAACTCTGTTATTACCTGTTTTATTTGAAAGAAGCTATTTAAGTGATTCCTCCAAGAATGTTTCTTACATTTTCCTTCAAGTTGTTAAAGAAAAACCTAAAAATTTCTGTACAGCCTCATAATCTTAGTACAAGTGATTACTTAAGATACTGCATTTTAAAAATGGCATGCACTTACGGTCAAATTTTCTTTCTCCCACAGCTATCTAATGCCCAACTTACTTTGTGTTGTCGCCCTACTGAGCTTTGGGATCCTTTGTGTAACAAATGTTAAAGACAAGAACTTGAAAACACTCAGAAAGAGAGAGCAGAATCATCCTATGAAAGGTTTCTATTGAAAAATTTATTTTGCTTTAAAATCTTATTTTGTTAGTACATGTTTTCAAAGCATGAACATTCTTCTTAGGGAGTGGTTATGGGAATCCTGCACTGGCTCTCTCCTGCCCCCTCTCTCCGGTCTCTTCCCCAATTTTCTTTATTATTGCTATTAGAATTGTCAGTTTCTGATCCTGGGATACAATGTGTACAATTATTGGGGCTATTCTTACATACACATGACAACTCTTTTTTAGTTACTTTCCTTCCCAGTGCTTCTGCCCTTGACTTCCTGGGCTCTTTCTCTCTGTGAAGTATCTGTTTCGCTATTTTCTGGATTTTGTGGTAGAACAGGACCAGCTATGGCTGTTACATTGGCTGATGCCTGCAAATGGTCATCTCTTTGGACATGAGATTTTATTAGACTGATACACATTGCGGTCACAAGAGATGGTGGAAAAGGAGCCTGTAAAACAGAAGAGGAAGCATTGAAGGGGAGTGTGAGGAAGGCAGAAGGCAGTAGAAGGCCTAAAGCCGAGCTTGTGTGTTATTTAAGTTATGAGGAACTGTTTCTCATGTTACTTCATTGAAAGACAAAAATAATTAAGAGGGTGAAAAGTAAGAAAACTATGGAACTGTTGTCTGAAATTTTCATAGTTTTCTGTAAGCATTTGATCACATTTTGGGATTTCCAAATGTCCCTAGACTCCACACAGAACTTTCAAGGAACTTTTAAAGTTTTAAGGTTGTTCATGTGTGTTTTCAAACCCTGTAGTGTTCAATATCTGAAGTACAGCTTCCTAAATAGGATCTCTCTCTCTCTCTCTCTCTCTCTCTCTCTCTCTCTCTCTCTCTCTGTATGAGATATCACCTTTGAATGAAAGCCATTTTAGTACTTGTCAAGCATTCATTTTTGTTCATTTTTCTCAATTCTTTTACCTTTTTCCTCTTTCTGATCTAGGCTCCTATTTCTTGTATCTTTCCTTTCCTCTGCCATTTACAGTTAGATGTTTATTTGCTTATTTAATTTATTTTTTGACACAGGGTCTCACCACAGAATTCAGACTCCTACTGATCCTCCTGTCTCAGCCTCCCTCAGTGCTGGGATTACAGGCATGTGCCACCAACCACGCCAGGTTCCGGGACCAGTACAGCATGTGGTACCAGGATCGAATTCAGGTCATTTCACTTAGCAAGCAGATGGTTACGCTGCCGAGCTGTCTCCCCAGCTGGTGGCTTTTGTTCTATTTATTTTGTTTTTCTGGCATGGAAGAGTGAGGCCAGAGTCACATGTATGTTTGCTAAGTACTCTAACACTGGGCTTCACTCCCAGCCTGGTGCAGGTGATTTTAAATTCTGCCGGAAATGCAATAAAAATAATTATTTTTCTTCACAATCACACTTAATTTTATCAAAGCAACAATATCTTTCTCATCAAATTCTCTCACCAATTTAAAGGATGTAAGATTCCTCCTAACTATTGTTGCAAATCAAACTAAAATTTTTAAAGTCAGGTAATTTGCAAAAAGACAACCAAGGTCCTGAGATCAAAAGAACAATACACTGTATTAACTCTGTAACTATTTTCTCAAGGTTACTACTTTAAAAGAAAAGCAATAATTTATTTGCATAACTTATGGCTTACTTATGCACAGACTGCACCTATCACTGGCATTTCAAGGGGCATGTTGTACATAATCTTCCCGTGTTTCACCTTACCATGTATCTTCATTGTATTTCAAACAGAAGTTTATGTTTCAATACAGATTTTCCTATTACACTAATCAATCTGTTGTTACTGCTGCTGCTGCTGTTTGGTCCTTGCACAGAATTATGCTTTGCCACTATGTGACCCATTCTGCAATTAAATTGGCCATGAAACTTATGAAATCATTCAATGGATATGAATAGTATCATACTCCTATCAGGGAGCAACAAGGAGTGGAAATGTGAGTCTTTATTTAGATGCCTTTTCCATACTTTGCAGAATAAAAGAAGTAGTAATATTACTCATTTCTAACATATAATTAAGTAATCATGATTTTTTAAAAGTATAAACAGCACAATGACTCTTCAGTTCATTTGATTCAAAACTTGAAAAGCACTGATGTTAGACACTGCAGTAATTATTTACAAATGACTTAGTTGGTTTCTTCCCCTTCCCAGGAAATGCTTGTGCTGATGTGGTTCTGGTGACAGTATAGACCTCTCCGCCCTAGGTGCAGCAGGACTGACTTAGACTCTGAAAACCAGAGGCGCGCCCTAGAGGTTCCATTTCCCAGAGCTTACTCACCTGGACTAGAGACATGCGGGACCTGTCTGAAAGTAGACCTAGGGAGTGAGGGGAATTACGCTGTGAGTCATCCCTTTAATGTAGCGAAGCCTTGGAGGGAAGAGCAGGGAGGATGTATTTGGCTGTTAGGAAAATGTAGACTACAGGTACAAAATGACATCCTATATTAACAAGATCTAAGGTACGACTCACATAATTGTCCTAATTTTTAAGATTGATGGGGAGCATGAAGCCTTTCTTCATAAATGCCTAAAGTATATGAGACTGCATATGGTTTTAGAAGGTGATTTTTATAAAAGAAGGTGGGGATTCTAACTCCCTCTACCTTGTCTATATATACGTCTCAGTGCATGTTTTGCTGTTTCCTGGGAAGTTTCTTGACAGAGAACCTAAGCTGAGCAAGAAAACCTTGATTCGAGTGAGCTAACTGTCACCATGAAAATATCAGGTGTCTTTCTGCTCCTCTCTCTAGCTCTTTTCTGCTTTTTTCCAGGTGAGTTTTTCCTTAAAATTAAGATCCTATATTTATATCAAAATGGAGATGAAAAGAGGCATTCTCTACCATATTTCAAAATTTCAAAGATTTTGATGTAAAAGAACAATTAAGAGAAATTATCATGCGGATGGTGATAATAATCAAGATGATAGGGATTATTATAGTAGCAATGGAAAAAAGAAATGCCATCTATTGAGCATATGCTCTATTCTAGACATGTACTAAGGGCAGTGTGTATTCTCTCTAATACTCATGACAAGGAATTTTCATCTGTTTTCTATATATAAAAGAATGTGGCACAGAGAATTTAAGAAAATTGTCAATGGACTTGCAATAAGTAAATAGAACTTTTAGTTTGAATCCAGATCTTTCAAATTTCACATTTGCTGCAAATAGCTAGCCTGGAGGATGGATAATTGCACTGAATAGTTTGTAATATAAATCTTGGCTTTCAGAGACAAAGGGAAACTTTCCTGTAAGCCATTATAATAAAAAGATTCAATGACTAAAATTGGAACAAGGGGGAAAATGGAAACTCAGTGAATAAAGCCTCAAACAGAAGTTATGAAACATTGTAATATGAACACATTGTTGGTGAATCACACAGTTCTTAGAACAGGGAATACTTTCTCCTGCTTCCACGAGCCACTGCCATATTCTTTATTAATTAAAGTGGTTTAAAATCCCACTGTACTTCAAAGTGATGCACGTCCTCTGCAGATAAGATTTCTGGTTGTCAGTTAGGGTCATCAGAATGAACAGAGCCATTTGTATCTATTTGCTCCTAATCATGGACAAAAGGGTCTCATGCTTTTCATTACTAACTTGTATCAACTGAAGAAATATCTCGATTCTCTGATGTTTTTATTCTTCAATAAAATGTCACTAACTAGACTAATTCCTGGAACCTTCCACATAAAAGGTACCATTTGGTGTAAACATAATAAATAAATTTTACTGCTAACAAAGATCTTAAAATGGCTGAACATGAACCAACAATTTTCAATAAGATTTAGCTGAGTCTCCCAGAGTTTATTCACCTTAATTCATCCATTTTACATAAATAAGGACATTGGGCTATTGTAGAGTAAATTGGACTACTGAACCAAATCATTTTATTAAGTAGTTCAGCCAATTGCTAAGATGCAGAAAATAATAGACCAATGTTTAAAATTTAGTTGGAAGATAATTTTCAAAGTCAATTACTATTATCTTATTGTTTCTTCTTGGGTTTTTTTACAAAGATAAATTTATATTTAACATGATGTGATTAACAATTACACCACATTTAAGAAAGCATGTATACTTCATAGGCATAATAGATATTGTCTAACAGTACAATAGTTTCTAAGAGTTTTAATATTAAAAGAAATAAATTCATTTAAGTCATGGCACTTTCATTTTATAAAATGGAATTTGTGACCTTTCTGAGCCCCACTCTTCTCATATGCAAAGTGGACTAGAAAGGACCTTTTCTGTGTGAGGAAATAGGGTATTAAATGAAGAAAATGCATGTAAAGTACTTAACATAGTAAGTGGGTCATAGTAAGTGTTCAGTGAGGGTCTTTTTTTTTATGTATTTGGTTCAGCGTCCCACTATGCAACTCGGACTTGTAGTGATCCTCCAGTTTACAGCCTCCCCACCGCTGGGATTACAGGCACATGCCACCAAGCCTGGACTCTGTGGTCAGCTCAGAGTGCCCAGGGGTGGGGCCAGCATGGCTTGTAGTGCTGGCAATCAAACCTCGGTGCCTGCACCTGCCTAAGCAGGCATTTCATCCTCCGAGCTATCTCACCAGCCCCAATGAATGTCTTTTACTATTAGCAAATTGAAGTTTAATAAAATAGTACTAATTAGATTTAGGCATTATGGGTAGTACTTTTTTCTGCTTTGCTATTTGTATATGAGAAATTGAGAAAGTTCTTCTTTTCTGATCACATATTTGCAGTCAAGAATTGACTGAAAATAGCAATATTTAATTTTCTCTGGCCAAAAAAAAAAAAATCACAGAGATTTTACAAAATTAGACTTTTAGGCCCTCTTTGCTTTTGCACTATAGTTTTCAAGGGATTGTCCTAAGAATTTGAAATCTTAACAACCTCTCATTCTGCTACTTGTGTATCAATCAGTAAGGTTGGTAAACATTGCTGTAAATAACTAGTAACTTTCTTACCCACGGAAAACCCTGTCCTCCTCTTACCCTCATTAATAGAAATTGGACAGGGTATTTCCAGACCTCCCTCAATGTTGTCTAACACAGAAGGTGGATTGCATTAACCCACACTCCTCCTCACTGAAGTGATTCTAGGCCTACACATGAGAAGTACTGCTACTCTGGGACACCCCCAGAACAGATCACAGATCAAAACCACACAGCTCATACCAGAACTGGACCTAGGATTTTTATTATTCCAGTAATTCAAGCCACTTAGAAAATGTATTACCATCTTTACAAATACTAGTAAGAAGAGAGAAGCAGGAGGGGATATTACTACATAAGAATTCTCTTTCTCTTTAAGGAATTTAGAGATGTAGGAAAAAATGAGGCATAGAAGAGTGAGTGGGCGGGTTCTCCCCAGTCTGTATTTGGGCCAAGTGTTGAGGCTGAGTATCTGCAGAGAAGGCAAAGAGCAGCCCTGAGCTCTGTGAACAAACAGCATGTCCCCAGCTCCCCATAACAAAGGCTTTTAGAAGAAGCTACCCAGACTGAACTTGGGAACGCCAGTGTTAGCGAACACTTTCCAATTTAGCTTCCTCCAAGTATGACCAAAGACAACCAGGTGGCTCCATGGTAAACTAATCACGTGTGCAATGCATAAAGCTTTAGATCCATAAATAATTTTCTTCCACCCCATTCTAACCTCCAGTATATACTGTCCCTTCCTATTGTCTGTGCTTCTCCACAATGGCCCAAATTTCTGCTGCTCCTTAAGAAATAGCAAGTGAAAAAAAAAAAAAAAGTGAAGACACATTATGCCAACTTAGGATGGTCAAGAACCAAGAACAAACCCTGAGGATTTTCTAAGTTTTCAGGGCTCACTCATTGCACTTTTATGAATTACAATGTTTGGATTTTATGCTTTTTTTCAGGTGTCTTCACTCAAGGCAAACAGGTCAGTGCCAAATTTTATCTACTTTTCCAACCTGGGTGGTGCTCAGCTGATATTCACGGACCAAAAAATAGGTGTATTTATAATGTAAAGGAGAAAAACTAATGAGCAAAAAAGACAAATGCAAAAATCACCTGGAATATTTTTTTGTCTCTCTTTTTTTTTTTTTTTTTTGGAATAGGGGATTGAACTCAGGCCCTTGCACTTGGCAGAGAAGCCCTTATTCTACTGAGCCATCTCCCTGACCCCTGGAATATATTTTTAAATGTTAATCTTTTATGATTATACCATCAAAGCCTAAAAGTCCTTATTTAAGTCCTAATTTAAATGAATGTAGAATGTTGGTGAGATTAAAATGCATGCTAGCTTCACTGTGTGTTCCTGGGGAGGCAAGATATTTAGCTTCTCTGAACTGTAACTTCTGATGCTATGGACCAGAATACTAAGACTCAATTTCTAAAGTTATGATTACATCTAAATCAGTGAAAGCTTTTGCTAAAGTATAGAAGTTAAAGTGAGTTAAAAATTTGCCTTCTTTGCAAGGGTGGAGATAATTTCTTTTTTTTTTTTTTGGAAACCGGGGATTGAACTCAGACCCTTGTGCTTGCCAAGCAAGCACTTATTCTACTGAGCCATCTCCCCAGCCCCTTTCTTTTTGAAAAATAACTAAAAGTAAAAACTTTTCAATGTTGTGTAGTACAGAGAAACAAGCAGGTACACTCAATTATTAGTACAGTTTGAGGTTAAAATTCAGATGGGCACAGTCTGTTCATTGTGGACTTTTTTCTCCCAATTTAATTCCACAACTTTTTGCTACCTTTTATGATCTCTCAAAACCTGACACAAATGTGTGTTATCTGCTCGGCCAATCCCAGTCCAATGTCTACATCTGGTGCTTCTACTTGGTCTTAGCAAGTTTTGTTTAGCCTTAGTGTATTCAGGAATTCTTGGCTTCAAAATATCCAGACACTATTATCAACTGATGGCATGACAAGGAAATCGAAAAGTATTTTCCAGCCTTCATCCACCCACTCCACTGTATAAGAATATCTTTTTCAAATTTTAGCATCAGATGCATCTTATACTTGATGACATCTTAAACTGTCTCTGTATGTCTACCAGATGCACAGCTGTGTGTTTGTGTTGCTTCACAAGGCTGTCATTCTTTTTTTTTTATTGAGAAACAAATAGCAATGAGACAGTTTCAAGACCAATTAGCAGGACAGTTTCAATAATTAATGCATTGCATATTGCTGTCTTCATAGTGGTTATTCGTAGTACAAGATGCGACATAATATCCTGTCTGAACACTATTAGTACAAATCTTTCTTCTCATTGAACTAAGAGGAAGTAACTGTATATCTATCCTAACTATTTTATGTATACAGATACAAAATGGTCCTTCCTTTATATACCCTTTTTTTGGTTTAGTTTTGTCAGAGATGTGTATTCCATTGCCATTTAAATATTGTAGTTAAAGCTGTAATTCTTTAGACTGACATATTTAAATAAGTACAGTAGCGCAGTACACAGTAAATATAAAAGTAAACACAAGGAAGAGTCATAAGATTGAGACAACATGTTTCACTTTAAGTAATAAAATACAGTGATGAGATTCTTACAGATGCAAAGGACAGGACATTTATGCAAGTTTTATCATTAACATGCAAGTCAACTCCTATTCTTGTGCCTTTATTTATCAGGTTTTATCACCGTATTTTCTAAAGTTTATACACCAGATCCTAGCTCCTAATTCTTCTCCATTACATGGGGTCAAATCTTAGTCTGCTTGCTTCAGGGACACCTGAAATACTTTCTAAATGTCAGACACTCGAGCAGTATACAGTATTGAACAATTATTGCCCAGGTAAGGGTTTGGATCTTCATTCTGTATAATTATCCAGGTAACACACACAACAAAATCTGAACCCTTTCTCCAGGTACCAGTAAGCAAGCATATTGGCAAGCACTGATTTTGTAATCTGACAATATGGCTGAGTGCTGATAAAATTACTTACACACAGGTGATTTGGTCCATGTCTCTTCGTTCTCAGTGCCTTTGCTGCCCTATCTGTAAGATGAAGGGCTGGATTCAATGACCTCTAAAGCTTCTTCCTGTATGATATTTGAATCCTTATGTACCTTATGATTTATTTCAGAATTAAATCAGAAATAAGAACTAGTTTACAGAGCATAGCAAGGCTGCTGTGTCTTCCTCCACAGAAATATAAAGAAGCTTCCGCCCTTTTAGACAATCTCAAGGCTGCCCTTGCTCCTCTTCACGGTTGGAGGAAGCCCTCTGCAGAAAGGTCGAAGCTCCCAGCAGCGCACCTCAGTTGTGTGCAGCCCACACAGAGAGGCGCCAGGTTCCCGACACTCCCGTCCCTCTTCTCAGGCCAAGCTTTCTCCCAGTGATAAAACATCTGCGGGGAGATTACAGTCAGCAGCCCAAATTAGAGACCTAGAGCATTTCACATTACTTCAAAAAGATTATTCAACCTAAACACAAAGCCTGTTCCCAGATTTCATGCTCCAATATTTTCTCTGTAAATGTATGTGGCTGGTATGTTCCCAACTCTGGCATATGCCGGGTGATGATGTTAAATAGCTTTAGTAAAAATGACAATAAAGTAAAATTATGATTTGTTATCAAAAGCTTTCATAAAATAGTCATACTACATAAATATATTTTAAATACATAAAAAGAATATTTTTCATTGAAAACTACTTGAATTTGGTGTCACTCAGTGCATTGCCATTAATGTTTTCTCTTTTCCTACTATGCACCATACTTTGAGACTATATTTGTAGAGTTACTTAAATAAATAGTCAGGAATGGAGCTCCTCAAAAGCAAAGATCTGCAACTATTTTCTGTTGCAGTCCTTTTGAGGATGACTAAGTTTATTCTTGCTTGTATTTGAGACAAAATGAGTGAATTTTAACACAGTTTTTAAAAAATCATCAAATAATGCTCTGTAATTAGAATGAGTTTGGATTTCTCAGGTTTTTCTAATTAGCTTGATTTTACATAAAATACTGTACTGGTGTACATGTAAATGCAGATTGGAGCTGTTAGCCAAAATCTACAGCTTCGCTAGAGATGGAGACGCTGAAGCCATAGACATGAGCCAGGCTGGCTGAGCCTGAAGCACAGTAGCTTCAGTGAGCAGCAAAAGGGGGTGGGAACGTTGCTCGGGGCTGCGTGTTCGCCTAGCGTGTGGGAGGCCCTGAGCCCAATTCCCAGCACCAAGGAAACACACACACACACACACACACACACAAATCAGTGAAAGTTACTTCTAGTGAACATGAAAGAACTTCAAACTGTAATTTTCTAAACAAATGTAAGTTCATAATTATGATTATTATCCTCACTTCTTAAGATTATGATGAAAACAGTTTAAAATAAGATGAACTCTTGTCTACATGAAAGAAGGATTTGAAACCAGGAGGAAAAGGAGCCAGAGTCAGAAGAACTTACCGCACTGAGAGAGAGTAAGCTTGGAGTCTGCAAACTTACTTGAAGACGCCCAAAGAGTAACAGACAGGAAGCCATGGCAGCTCTTTGGTCTGAAGGCCGGATCGGGAATCTGAAGAGCAGTGAAAGCCTGAAAAATAGAAACATCAGCATTAAGAATTAGTTTACAGAAAAGATAAAGGATTGTATTTGGGGCATAAGTGTGTCATGAATGTATTCTCTCTCCATTTTCTTCCCCCTCTTTTTGAGGCAGGATCTCACATATTCAGGCTAGTCTTGAACTCACTACGCAGCCCTGGCTGGTCTCAAACTCAAGGTCACCCTTCTGCCATGGACGCCCGAGTGCTGGGATGACAAGTGTACGTCAGCACACCCAGCTACAGGCTACTTGTTGAGAGCTGTTTTGAGGGAGCAGAAAGGCTATAAAGGTGGGGTGGGCAGGGGACTATGTGCGTGACTGCATCCTTTTATTGGCTTTATTTGTACACCTAAATGATGAAGCGTGAAATAATTCTGACTCCTTAATAGAGTTGATGATCGCATAAGTACGAATTTTTAACCAAATTATTATTAGTAATAGTAGGATTCGTATTAGCCAAAATGACTAGCGCGGACACTGTCCCTTCATCCCACAGTTTTAGAAGATACAGTTCTCCGAATCACCACAAGGGGGCAGGCAGACACTAACCACTGGCAGCCGTGCGCCTAGGAGGAGCCCCAAAGTTGCTGTGAGGAAGATAAATGCCAGCCTGAACTGCACAGCGAGACCCTATCTTTCAAAGACCAATAATTAATAATCAATAATGATAATAAATGTATATTTCATTTTAAACTCAACGGCAAAGTATATAACATTTTAAAATAGGGTAAGACATGTAATGGGCTCCAAAAACTCTATAGATGTGATGCAGCTTACTTTGCTGGTCTTTATAGTAATGGTCTTCTAGGTCATTGATACTTTACAAAGCATTCTTGTAGGACTAAATATTATGACAGTTCTGGTAGATAAGTATGGCATTACTGTAGAATGTGTAGACATTTAAGCTCACAGTAATGAAGTGTTTGCACACTCTTATGCATCTAATAAAGTGAAAAGCAATATTCAAATCCAGGTCACTCCAAATTGATCCACAAAACAGCCCCACAACATAGCATCAGCTCTGGGGCTTTTTAATTAGACTGGGAGTGTGTGAGCTCTCCTGCGTCTCCTAAATACTTCATGAATGAAACATTAAAGGAGAAAAGATAATCCTACCATAACCTCAGTCTAGACCTACTTTGACTTCCACTGAGAAGCCAGTTGTTTGGTTTTATTTAAATGAGTTCAAAGCAAAAATATAAGATAGAAGAGGAAATTCAGCGGAACAAATGCCTGGCAATTAAGAGACCTTAACTCACATATCCTCAGGTTGTGAGAGCTGTGGTCTTCCTCACCCCACATGCCCATGACCCCCTCTGCATTAGGAAAGGACAATTTCCAGGCAATTGCAGGGTCCTCATGGTGAGGGGCGGCTCTTTTGCTCTTGGCCAGCCTGCTAAAATATCTCACTTAGCCAACCCAGAGGACTCAGCAGATGCAGAAGAGGAAACACCAGTCAAAATTTGATTTTTTTTGTCACCCAACTTCAAAAATTAAGAACATAGGAGCTTTATGTAAACCAACTCATTGAAAGTAGTGACCACTAAATCTTGGATCATCTAAATTAAAAGAGCTTTTAGATATCATATAATTCCCTGGTGCATATATCATTTTCTATGAGCTTCAGTGAAAAGATGCCTCCAAAAAGAAGGTTGCTTTCTACACTCCTAGCTCAGAACTGGTTGAGATACTCCACGCTGACTCCACAAGGCTTACACACGCCATGTCTGATCCCTAGAAAAACCCTGGAAATGTGGGAACGGGGCCTGGCGAGTATTTGCTTGTTTTCTGGTTAAGAAAACATTGACATGTTCTGTGCTTCACACCAGATAGTACAGATAATTAACAGCAGAATGAGTTCTATGTTTCTCAGCTGCCTTAAGGCTTGAACTCCTGAGGGTTGCTGCAACTTAAAAGTATGAGATGTGTTTGTTCTAACATAGTTTGTTCATATGTCAGCTGATTAAGGGGGTCTACTTATTTGTTTATTATATTTTGCTGCCCCTAACTGCTTTCACCAGGGCATAGAAACAGGAAAGGACTGTGGCTTTGGGAGAGAGGTGGGTTCTGGAGAATCTCAAAGTGAACGTTCTCCCCAAGTTCCACTTCTATATTTGCTTTCTAAAGGAAAAAAGAGGCTGGCTCATGGCAGCACAGGGGCCAATGGCCAGGGAGAGGTGCCTTAAGAAGCCGTCTCTTTCATGTAAGAGACTTTCCTGTTTATTTTCCCTATTATTGAGATGATCTGGATCAACTGGCACCAGTCCCTCTGTACTAGTCAAACTCTCCTCTGCTGCTGTAATGCAGATAACACTGTATGTCTGTTGATCCGGTGCCATTACAGATTCTTTGCATAACCAGCACCCAGCAGCAGGCCTTCTATGGTTTTGTTTCACATCAGGTTATTTTAGAATAAATGAAGTATCAGTGATTGAGCACTTTGCAGTTCTTTTTGACTCAGGTACAATGTTGTGCGTGTTAGTGACATAAATATAAAATACACAAGCTTTTAAGAAAACATTGCCCTGTGAGTTGTAGTGAACTGAAAATTTCTCACCTCTATTTCCACTTGAAGACCTAAAGGAAAGATTATTTTTCTCTAGAAGTAGTATGAGAATGAAATTATCTTTCAGAGTGGTGGGAAATACAAGTACTGTAGGTAGGAAACTCCACACTATCCAACCTTAAATTGTAAGATGCCAACTCTAAGTATTACCAGAAGTGTGCAGATTGTACTTAAACTTGATACATGTCGTATTTTTTTAGTATATGTGGTGCTGAACTGAGCACTATGTGGTATTTTTTACACCTAATTTTCTGACTTTTACTGAGCATTTTCTTCACCATGCAAACAAACCTTCTGACAACTTTGTCAGTGTATAGTCATGTGCTGACAGTTCAATGAGTGATTTTTTGGTCCGTGTTTATAGCATTTCTTCAATATAGTATTTTGAGCATATGATTTTGGTTGTGTATACATACTCAATGTGATATAATAGAATAAATACAGACATCTCAGTCTGTGCCTTAGGGTTATTGTCAGACTTAACTGAAGAAATATACATGAAGGCGTGAACTACATGGAGAAGTTGATACTCAC